ATTATATTGTCTTCAACGTTCCAGCGGATGGGTTCAAGCTACAAACCTATCAGGCTGTGTGTTAGGTGGATTCAACACCTCGAGCTATATCAAGAGCCATTATTCCATCTCATTGATTCCCACTGGGGGGGGAGAGCAAAGCCCTTTAAGGAGGTAGTGGATGTCTGTCATCACAGGAAGCATCACACTCTTTTACACACACACTCACAATAAAACAACCCTTCTTCTGCTAAGGCCTGATTTAGACTGCTGAGGGGAATCTTTATAACCTACTCATGCTTGTTCTGGTGCATTACATGTTAATTGCCATGTGGTCATGACCCAGTGTTTTATATGTGGTAAAATGCTGGGATTTTCTTGTGTATCCCTGCACTCTGTTGTGGAGAGTATTTTTTGGGTGCAAAGATGTTTGTCCCTGTAGTTTTACCACTTTTTGGAACATTCCCTCAGATCAATTACAATAGTTTCAGCAATCTTACTTTATCGCTTTAGTGTAGAAAATTATATTAATAGCATCAATATAAGGAGTCACAAATGTCAGCAAATTCCTGGAGGGAGTTTGCTGAAACTATCATAACTGACTTGATGGAAAACTAGAGGGAAGCTTCTTTGCACATTCCCGTCACGTCCCTCTAGGAATTTGCTGACATTTGAGATTGCTTATATTGAGCCTGTGAGTATTATTCCTTATAACTGACGTGATGACTGGACTCTGTTACTGATAGATTAAAAAACTAAAAGTAGCCAGAAATGCACAGGATGAATTGATGGTGTTGAACAGGCCTCACAAGAGCTGCGGAGAGAGATTTGCAGGTGATCTTCTAACAGTGTGCTGATTTAAAAACAAAGATCGCACCAGTTCATTTCAGTAACGACCAAGCTTAAGAAAACGAACACACCAGCTGAGGGTGGGTGAAGTAACGTACTAACAAAAACTAACAATAATAACATAAAAAGCAGGTTTTATGCGTGTTTCTCTCTGAAAACAGCGTGGCAATTCAGATAACTGAGAGGCGGAAGAAGAATGAAAATGTTTTGATATAAGGCTGAACTCTTGTGACAGACATTGCTGGCGGCTGCGTGTGGTCCTGAGGACTGAAGTGGAGGATTTATTACAAACTCATCCACCGTATAAATCTGAAATATGTGTTTAACAACTCACCTGTCCCACGCGTAAAAGAGCAGAAGAAATTATTTAGCACCAGTTCCCGAGCCGTCTGTGTGTTAATAACGTTAATAATACTGCGCCGTGTGTGTAAATGCACACATTGCTCTTGACTTTTTTTCTGCAGGCTGTCAGGCTTTAGGTATTTAATAAAGTCATTATTAAATATAGTAACATTCATACATTAATCTAATATGTCAACACAGTTCCGTTAATAGCTTTGTTTTCACAGACATTTCAATAAGGCATGTAAAAGCTGTGAAAGCACACAGCGATTAAAAGCCTGAAACACTGCAAACCCCATCAGCTCAGTGCAGAAATTACCGTGGCTGTTCATAAAAGAAGACACACCCTTGCATGAATCTAGTACCTGAATTGTCCGTCTCCATCTAACACTCTACATTAAGCTCAGTTTAGTTTAATACCAGTATTATTGAGGACAACATGCAGGACGAGGACTGAATGTAGAGCTACGGGACAGAGCCAAAGTTTTGGCACTGGACTCACAGCTTTGAGCCATCCACCCGTGCCAATTATACACTTGTTCTGATAACTTCTCCCCCTCTCATTACAAATAAATGAAGACTGCTAGCGGCAACTATCTCAACAACATCGGGTGCAAAATAAGACATGCTTTTTTTTCCAGCATGACATGCAACACAATTTGCACAATTTGCAGTATGTCGACTTGGTAAATCAGCTTTGTGCAATTCATTTACTTGATCTACCTAAAATGTGGCTCTGTTTAAGGGAAACTAAAACAAATACATGTGCGACGAGTGTACGCTAAGCCATAATCAACAAAGTGAGTTATTAAAGAGGGAAAAGGAAGTGACACAGATTATGAGCTAACTAAATAGAGTTTTCATTTCATTGTTACACCTCACCTGCTGTAATAAGACTCTACCCCCAGAGCCTCACGGGCACTGGCGATGTGCTGCTCCAACGAGGAGCCACTGACCACTCCGCCGACACCTCCCTCTTGGAATTCCGACCCCCCTTCGGCTACGCCCTCGCCCAGGTACACCTCATGAAACTTCAGGATGCCTGTGGAGAGAGTGAGAGAGAGAAAGGAGGGGAGTGTAAATATGACTGGCTGCTTTCAGGTGGTTATGAAGTGTAATGACAAAACAAATGAAAGCGGCTATTTTCCACCCTCTCTCTTTCCTTTTTTTTTTTTTTTTTAATATGTTCCTATTACTCGCTCTCGACGGTGGCAATATTGGATTATTTCAACTGAGAGCTGTGGGTGAGGGCACGTGCAGCAGTGCATCTGCGGAGCAAAATGAATAAAACAAATATTGTTCAATAAAAGATAAGAGTAGGCTGCCCGTGCCATCTGGTGCCTGCCGCGAGAGCTCGGCTAAGTTTCAAGCAGGTGGGGAAGAGCACATCGGGCGAATACGGCTGTTTGTGTGTGTCTGGTTTGTGGGTGTGTCAGTGTGTTTCACCATTTTGTATTAAATGTGTTTAAATAGACGGGTAAAGCGATTCTGGTGAATATGCACGTGCATGCTCATTCGGGCCAGAATGTACACTAGTGGAGTAATTACAGCATGACATTAGGAGCCCCATTCATTGACTGCAGACTCTTTAGAGCTGGACATGTTTGTGTACCAGCTGGATGCCAGGGAATGCCAGGAAGTGACAGACAGGCGATTAGTGAGCAAGTGGCTCCCTCTTAGCCTGGGGCAATATTCGATGCTTTGAAGATGTACTCCGGTCCCTGTAGTGTTCCTCCCCTCCTTATGACTAGTGCTTGGAGGTCAAGTTCATCTGGTTGCCTGGGAGCTGGATTTGATCAAATGTTCAGGCTCTTGTGCCTTGGAACATGGGTCACGGCTCTCATTTCCTTTCTTCACACGAGAGTCAAAGCAAAGCCAGCAGTAGGGCAGCCACAGCAGTCGGGCGACATGCACCGTAGCTTATTCGCCCCTTTTTTTCTTTGTACAACTGGAATTTTACAAGGCAAACAAAAGGGGCTGCGCTAGCATCAGCGCTACTCAGAGTGTAAACAAAAGAGAGAAAGATTTAGGAGTGTATAAAGAAGTGCCAGGACAAAGCGATATCAAGAAAACAGATGAAAACAAAAGCAAACATCAAACACAAAAGCAGAGAAGACTTGTTGTAACAGCAAAGTGTTTTGCTGTTGACACGTGTGAAGATGACGCCACTGGTGTTTTGGCTGTGTCGTTATCAGTGACACAATCAATTAGCATAGTTCACAGGCAGATGCCTTCTGGGGGTGAAAAGCGAGGCAGGGGGGCAAATCCTAGCAGTGGAGTGGCAGGTGGCACTGTCGCTCAGTGTTAAAGCTGGCCTTCCTACCCCTGCAGTGCAAAACAAGCCTCTAGCCTCTGGGCCTTTTATCTGCTTTAATTTGAACAAGCAAGCGTGAGCGTGGGGCTGCTTTTGCTTTAAACCAAGTAGCTTCTGTACAGACAGAATAATTTCATATTATTGATCGCCTTTGTACAAATCGTGCCACTTCAAAATTTCTAAGCCATTTTTTAATAGTCATTTTCTGTGCTTTTGCCACATTTCAGGTTATTAAAGTAAAAAAAAACCAAAATGTTGCATTGGAAGTACACACACTTAAATGTTTTGAATAAAAGAACAAAGTAAAACAAAGAGATTCAGGAGAGCAGTAGTCAGACAGACATGATGGGATTTCAGCAACTCATTAAAAAGTTTTCAGCTAGAGTCCAAACCTACCTGCTCCTGGAGCCAGCAGCCAGCTGTACAGGTAACCAGCAGCCATAGAAAAATAAAGCACCAAAGCCCTCTGGCTGTTCACGGTATCCAAGATGTGCTCCACTGTTACCGGCGTGTATGGATCCGACTCCTGCTGGCCCGTCTGCCTCTCCACCAAGAGATCAGCAAAGGCTCTTGTACGACCCCTCTCTGCCACTGCCAGGGCCTCGTCGTGATGGCCTGCGGAGTTCAGAGGTCAGCTTTGATTAGCGGATGAAGTCTAAAATCGTTCAGGTGCACACAGAGGCAAAAGCAAAAACAAGTCATAACAGCGTGCAGTACTGAGAGTGTGAGTAAAGTGTGTTGACGTACCGAGGCTGACAAGGACCCTTTGGAGAGCCTGGTAGCAGGAGGTTTGCAGGTCAAACAGAGAAAGCTTGTAATCTGTGCTGTGTTGGGCTTCGTGGCGGATGGTCTCAAACAGCGCTGATGCTCGGTAAAGCTGAGGATAAATAACGGCAAAAATGCACTCAGACATTCCTGGATTGCTCATTTACCAGACAAGAATAGTGTACAAAAACATAACAAGAAATAGTCATCGGCACAGTCAACGATGACCCCGAAACAGCAAGGCGTTGCATCAAAATACCTTTTCTGGAAATTAAGTTTAAATGAATAAACTGTGTTTAAAAAAAGGAAGGCAGTTGGGATTCTATGAGAAAGACATGTTGGTTAAATACGTCTGCATCTTACTAAATTGGGCATGATTAGGCCTTAGAGGATAGAAAATGAACATGGCCACTAGATGGTAGCATTCCACCTCACAGGTTATCACTGATCAGCCTCCTTTCTTCTTTTCTCTCTCACAGCAGAATAAAGTACTGTAATGTAGCTTGATGAATAACCATTAAACACAGGTAAACCTCTCCTCAGCTCTCATTTGCCCAGAAAGGGCTGCGAGCAGCTAAACCATTACCCTGAGCATCTTAGACAAACACGGTTCAGGAAAAGAAATGCTTTGTGAATTCAATAGGCCCGTCTGTGTTGTTGGATCTTTCAATTCAGGGCCAGACACCGGATTGAAAGAAGAAGGCGAGACAATGAAAAGGTGGGGCGGCAAGGACTGTTGCACACTGGCCAAGCAGAACCGGCCAAGAGTGCTGATTCATGGGAGCCTTTTATTGATTTCCTATTTCTGCACCTATATAGCAGCCCTGTAGAATAACTGGGACTGCTATAGAGTGACTCTCCAGGAGTCTGGGGCCAGCAGAGAGGGTAAAACACTCTTGCTGCTCGACCATAGTACACGCAAGACAAAGAGCTCTGCAGTGGAAAAAGGGTTGTTGGTATGGATTAAATGGATTTTATCAACCCTGTGGCTTTGACAAGAGGAAGGAAAGGGAGAAAGTGTGTGTGGATTCCTGGTGAGTACATAGGCATAGAATCTAGCTCGTCAGGCATATCCCAAGGTCAAAGAGGAAAGTGTGTCAGAGGGAGTGTAGGGGGGAGAGTAGAGAATCTGTGAGTTCTGCTGCATTAGTCCTAGTAGAAGGAGCTGCTAGTCTCAGGCTGATTTTGCTGATAGGGCTGTGGGCTGATTGCTGCAGTGCTAGTTTCATCTGTTAGGCCTGCAGATATCCCTTTAAGAGTGTAACTAATTTCTCAGAGCGCCTTTCCTCTGTCTTCACCCCTACTGGCACAGATGAAGGGGGGGGCACTGCATCTGTAGTGTCTTTTTTGCCGCGACACAGGTGCAGTAAAATCTGCGGCATTCTCAGGCCGCTACCTATTCAGATAGCGCTCACTTGTTTTACTGACACACTAACATGGCTTTTATCTGACATGTTAAGTGAATGTCAGTGTCACACTGTATCAGTAAACGTGAGCAGACTTGAATGCACACATACCTCGAATGATTTTTCTAAAATAAAATCCCCGGGGAGCTCTCATCCCCCTGCGGAAGATGATATCAGAGGTAAAGGCTTAATCGACTGTAGACCGCGGATTTTTTTATTATTTTTTTTAAGCAGGCACAAATGTATCGATTCACGTTTGCCGAGATATGAATGCTTCTTAGCGAGAGCAAGCACTGTTCAAATACCTGATTAGAATCAGGACACGTCAATCTGTGTGCCAGTACGAGCACCGGGATCACAGCTAGGGTGCTAAAATACAATTCGGTGCGCAGATAGAGAGAAATGAGGAACATGAGGTCAAGTACTCTTAATCTACACCTATGAACGCTTTATAAATTTAAATACAAGCCTTTAAAATAGCAGTATAAAGTGGGTCAGAGTGTTTACCAAGGTCAGCTGTAGCGACAGGCCAGCTCATGAATAACCATTTCATCTATACTCTGAGGACAACAGCGTCCTTTCCAACCACCAAGTCACTGCAGGAGCTACAAGCTGACAGGCAGAAAAACATTCAACATAGCTGTGGTGTACTGTATGTATGCAAACGACTGGATTGCAGTTAATTGCAACAAGGACAACACAATGTTAGCATGGACTATTAGGGTCTTGAAGGTGAAGCATTAAGCTGGAAAGCAAACATGCAGTGGAAAATATGTTGCATTGGCTTGTTAGAATAATATTTTGCTTTAATTGAACACAAATTCCTCAATATGAGTCACAAGCACTCAGCCCCTGCTCTAGCCATCACCTTGGTTCAGTCTTTCATTCTCAGCTCTTGTTACAGATAATTGCAAACAGACAAAAATACTTTTTTGAAAAAGTATGATGCAGGGCCGACGGAAAAACAAAAGCTATCTGGGTCGAATAAATGCAAGTTGTGCGCGTGTGTCATAACAAAAAAAAAAAAAAAAAGGGAAAGAAAAAAAAGAGTCTTGGACTAGATTTTAAAAATGAAAGCAGCTAAAAAACATCCCCACAGACGCACGTGACAGCCACCGCTGCTGACTGACTGTTCACAAACTTGCATGTGGATACACAAGCCAAAGAAAGGGGGAAGAAAAGTATATATATATGTATATATATATATACTTTTTTATATATGTATATATCAACTAGTGAGCTGTGGTGTGTGGACAGACTGCAAAGAGAGATGTTAAGGGGATATTCCATGCTTGCTAGGTGGGCAGTGGGCTGAAGAGGAGTGAATGTGTGTGTGATGCAGAGGCTTGGGGGATCCTGAGACCATGCACGCAGATACAAAAAAATATTCACTCATCTGTCGCCTGTCTGCTGAGATGACAGCATTTACCAGCTCAACAGACTCCATAGCATACTGCCAGCACCAATGCTCTAACTCTACAGCCACCTCGCCTTCTTTTCTTTCCTCCTGTTGTTCTCTCTCTCCTCATGGCTCTTTTTTTTTTTTTTTTTTTTACCTCGAAGGCATTGCTGAAAACGTATATTTCCCCATGTGTTTAAGACAAGTACTTCCACCTCTCATTTCTAATCCTTGCCAACCTCAAAGCCGACAGATGTGGGCTTACTGGCGGTCAGCCTTAACTACCAGAGGTCGAAGGAGCCCAGATGGAAGGGAGAGGAGAGAGGAGGTGAGGTGAGGAGAGAAGGAAATGAGAGGTCTGAGTCAAGGTGATCCATAACCAGAAGAGGAGCGAGCAGGAGATGCTTTACCTGATGTTGGGCCTCCTCCAGATTCCCACTGGCCCACAGAGAAAGCCCAAGACGATGGCGGATCTTCGCCTCGTCCTCACGTCGAGCAAGCTGCTCCGCAAGCCGCAGGCCTGTCAGAAGGCAAGGAGAAGGGAGCAGATGAGAGGGAGAGGAGGGTAAAAATTATTCAGAGCAGACAGACTCTTAGGTATCTTTCAGAGGAACAGATGTAAGCATAGCGTGGTACTGATGTTCTGACAGCGAACAGGTTTGGATATTTGGCCTCAGTTGTAAGATGCTGCTCGCACCGGGGCTAAAACACACACACATGTTTTGGCCATAGCGGGAGATTCTTAGAGCACTAATGGGTCTGCATAGTAATCAATGCTCAGGATTGACTGGCTGAGCAAACACAAACACGCCGCATCACTAGGACATCTCCAAATATTTGCAAACACACTGATGAGCTAATAACAGACAACGTGCAAACACACAGAGTTTACTTTGTGATATTTGTTTGAGAGACCTTCAGAGTTGTTCGGGAGCCAGCAGAGGTATGAATGTGCACGTGCACGTGTGCTCGTTCGCTAAATGTGCCCGTGTCAGATCATCTGGTTTGTTTTTCACTTCCAATTTCTCAGGCACTCGTCACATCTTAGCATGTGTCCTCAGCCTGCCTGCCGAGCACTTGGTTCAGCCCAATTACTGAGATGAAAATGCCACTCCTCAGAGGACAATAATGAAAAAAAAAAACCACACACACAGTCGCTGGGTCACACATCATCCACAAGGTACAAAATACACAGCAAGCATTCTGCTGTTTGCAACAGGCCACCGCACATGCACAGTCTCACTTTACACGAGCTCCGTATTTGCAAGTCTACTCTCTCCACCCCGCTCGTGTGATACAGGGGTCTAGACGTGCTTTTGGTCAGGGGGGAGGAGAAAATGGGCCAAGCCACCCTTGTCTGCTTTTTTTCTTCATTCCTGGAAAACGGTCTGTGGCTGAACCAGATAAGCCAAGAACAGAGAGCGTGACCTGAAAAAGCCAGCCTATTCCGCAAGACCAGCACACCACAGAACCATAGACTTCATGGCTCCTCCATGGCCACGCTAGCCGGCAGCCTTTGAAGCCTGCAACAGTCTCCCCTCTCTCTCTGTATCCTTATCTTTCTACACACCCTCCCTCTGTCTGACTGCCTGCCCTCTCCCCCCAATGCATCTGCTGTGCTACTCTCTCCCTCTACCTCCTATTCATTTTCTCATCTCTGTGCCTCTGTCTCGGAGCGCCCCCCCTCCAAACTCTCTACCTGTTTCATCTTCACTGTGGTGGCAGTGCTTGCAGGGACTCGGCACTGCTTAGGGCTCATTAGGCGCTGAAGTAAGAGAGAGGAAACAGATCTAAATTATCCTTTTCATTCTCTGACAGCCTCACCCCTCACTCATCTCAACTCCAGCTCTGAGTCTTTCATGTCCCCCCCACTCACACACGCACAAATGTGCACGCACACACATACCTTTCTTTCTCTGAGCTGCTCTGTGATACTTTTTTTTTTATGATCAAACCTGAATGTCAACCAACCTATGTTTTCTTTATTCTCTAGCTGACAGTGAAATAATACATGTGAATTATGACTCATGCCGATCTCTGTCTTTTCCCTCCACTCCGCTGCCATCCTCTTTCTTCCTCTCTGCTCCTCCTTCCCTCCCTAACTCTCTCATTCCCTCTGTTCTCCCGCTCTGTATCATTCAGTGTCTGTCACTGTCACCGTGCGTGCCTTTGGTGCACCCCGCAGGCACAGGCACGTAGCAGCGGCTGACATGAGGATGTGGCCGTGGCTGGCTGCACCCTGAAGAGCAACTAGAGAACACTTTAAAGGCTGCTTGACAGCTGGGTGAGAGATCCTCTGCAGCCCCTGAGGCCCACGCACCTCTGCCTTCAAACAAGCTTTACATGCAGACTCCACATTCACATCTCACGCACTGCATAGCCGCAAGTGCACTGTGCTGCAAATAAACATCCCGACACGCATGCATGTGACACACACACAAAAAAAGGCCCTTTGATCATGGCCGCATGTGGAACGGTGGACAGTATGTGTGATATTATTAAAAAATTTGAGATTAAGCACACTTTTTCAGGCAATCTCCCCCAGGGACACTGCTCTGATAGTGTTGCACTATATTGTACAAATAAAAACTGCAAAGAGTAGTTTAGTACTGGACGAAAAAGGAGAAGTAGAAAGAGAGGGTCCAGAGCCTCACTTCTCTCTCATCTCAGCGCAGCTGGCCAGTGCCATGGAGTTATTTGTGAATATCAGGAACAGAAATCGCCAAAGAGATGCTGCAAAGATTAGCAGGGAGGGATCGCTGAAGTTATATCCAACGCACCGATATGCTGCTAGGACGGGGCATAAATCACACAAGCACATTTTGGGGAGAAGAAAGACAATAGTTACAATACTGACAGCACATACACTCTGTATGTATTCCGTAGAAATAAATAATTAATCAGACTATTGCCATATATGTCTGTTTGCACCATATCTCCTCATTAAGGGGTGGGCCAATCTGAGTGAAATGTTGCACCAACATCATCCCACATGCAGCGACCATCGCCTGTTAGTGGGTGGGATATTTAAGGAAGCAAGTAAGAATTAAGTAAGGATCACAACATCTCCAAAACTGCAGCTCTTATGGGGTGTTCCCAGCATGCATTGGTCAGCATCTATCAAAACTGGGCGAAGGAAGGAACAGCAGTGAACCAGCGACGGGGTCACGGCGACCAAGGCTCAGTTATAAAGATCAGGACCCAATGCTGCCCCGTGTGATGGGATCCAACAGATGAGATATTGTAGTTCAAATGCTAAAAAATTTAATGCTGGTTCTGATAGAAAGGTGTCAGAATACACAGAACATCGTAGTTTGTTACATCTGAGGCATAGAGGTCTACAGGAGTCAATGCCTTGATAGGTCAGGGCTGTCTGGGCAGCAAAAGGGGGGCCAACACAATATTAGGCAGGTGCTCATAATGTTACGCCTCATCAGTGTAAATATATAGGCATTTATATATAAAAAATATAAAGCAATTACTATGAAGATACCAGTTTGAGATTAAATAATAAGACTACGAGGAAATTTAGATCAACAGCCAAGACACAAAGTGTATTACAAATGGGATCTTAAATTACTGACCAAAAGAAATCAGTACATGTACTCTGCTCATCAAAATATAAATATAACAGTGTACATGTTTTGGTGAATATCACCTGCCATAACAAAATGAAAGTGTTTTATATAAACATCAAACCCAAGGTTAACAGGTTAGGTTTTCTTTGTCTTTAAAACTAAACAGGTTTCTATGCAGCTTGCAAAGAAAACCCGTAATTATATATTAGATTTTTACATTTATATATTATTCTGTAGTTAGGTGTTTATAAACAACCAACATTTTCTCATATAACGTGTAACAAAGATGCATAAGAAATGCTAATGATGAAAAGAGTCTTTGTGTAATTTATCATAATTTATGATTTCTAGAAAACAAAGCTGGGCTTTATTGTGATGTTTACACAGATATTTGTAGTTAATGTGAAAGATTTTAAGCCAAAGTAGAATAATATGGAGATTAAAACTAAAATAGCTCCTTAAGCCACCAGCTCAGCACTCAGCACAACTAACTGCAACCAACATTTAATATTAATAGCATAAAATATTAGCACCAAAAGTATGAGAGGGTCCACACATGATGATAACTGGTCGAGAGTTGTGCAGAGATCCATATCATCCAGCTCTATTTAGTTTTAAATGCTTCTTGACAAGCCCTCAACAGCCTAACAGCATGAACACACTTTAAGGGAATTTCTAAGTTGGTCCTGTCCTAGAAAAAATTCACATGTCACAAAACTCGTTTTCCACGGTGAAGGCCAAAACGAAAATGCTTATCTGATGTTTAGTTGCGTATCTGACCTTTGATCAAGACCCCATCTTGATCAAAGATGAGTTTTTCATGTAATTTTGTCTTCCTATAAATGTTTTGCGTCCAACATTCGCCACAAATATTATTAATTAGAGTGTAGCTTATAAACTGTTTTGTGCAGAATACATATAAATACACTTGCAAATTAAATGATGTAAACACAAGAGGCTTCCAGTACATTTCCAACAAATAACTGCCCTTGAAGGTTAATATTGTTATCCCTTTAGTTTGCTTAATAAGCGATTCTATAAGTCAGGCATGGAATATCTCCATTAGTCGCTACAATGACTGCATTGATTTAATGACACTATTGATTGCATCAATCGTTGGAAAGTGCATCTCGGTGTGTAATGATTCTTTGTTTAACATTTAGAAAGTCGTGCACAATGCTCTGTAATATTACAGTGCAAGACGAAGAAAAAAAACCCCAAAGCTTGTTATCGGGCAGCCTTATCTTTGCATAATGTACTGCACAACAAAGTATAATCATCTGACACGCAGACACATACAGATACACGAGCAGTGGTTTGGAGGTCACATGCTGTCGACGATATCTGCTAGTTTGGAGCTGCTTTTCCTTTTCCCTCTTACTAATTAATCTTTTTTGGAAACAGAAACAAAACATAAGCAGTGCAGCATGAAGATAAAAAAACTAGAAGTGGAAGCAGAAAAAACAGAAAAACTAAATGGGGAAAAAAACCATGCCAACTTTTTGGTCTGGGCAGGTTGGCCAGAAATAATTGGCTGTCAAGGCAGCACTGTTCTTTTTCACAGCCAGACCAAGGAGCAATACAAGGACAGTGCGGGGGACAGTAAGAGGACGGTGTGGAGACAGAATGGCCTGTCGCCTTTGTTTCCATTAAAGCTCAACGAGCAGGCCTGCAGAGGGTGTATGGGTCACCGCAGGAAAAGTGAACTCGAATACAGCCGGCAAAGGAGAGATAGAGGAGATTTATTCTTGCTCCCCTGCATTCCGCTCACTCCAGAGCGGAATATACAAATGTCCTCTTACACAAACTCCAGCTTCATTGATTCAAACAGGGTCTGGGTTGTGACACGGTGGGTGGTGCCTGTCAGTGGGCACGGGCAAGTCTGGCGCTTTCACATCCATGAAAGATGCAACTTATCACATCCTCAGGAGCGAACACTTTGAGCGGTGCCACTGACATAATGAATTTCTGAGAGGCCAAGCTGCAGTTTTTTATTACGCCATAATCTGCGGAGCACAATGAAGCGTTAAGAGGCAGGAGTATGACAGCTACGGTGTGAAAAGATTCTTTTGCAGCTTGCTGCAAAGAACCCTCTGAGAAGGTAGATACAGAGGTGTGAAAAACAGCTAGGGGTGCACGGGAAAAATGCCTTGGCATGCATTCTGATAGGTTTGCATAGACATACACACAAATGCTGGTATACATATACAGCTCAGAAGACAACACAGACGCATAATACACACACAAAATTCCCTAGTGCACTTATAACACATAAGCACACACACACACTCACACACATATACATGCACACAGCCTAATAAAAATGTGGCAAAGGCTTAGCAACAAATAGGCTCTGCATTTCCTATTCATGAATTCACAAACTCTAAGCCTATCAGCTCAGGCAACAAAGGCAATCCTCTCTCCTGTTCCCCCCTGACTCACTCACCTTCCTGCAGGTACATGACAGCTTGTGAGTAGTTTTGCAGTGCGTGGTGTGTTCTCCCCAAGCTGCCATAGGCCAGTGTCTTGGCAGCCAAGTCATTAGTCTGAGCAGCCACACTTAGGTGCTGTTCTTGGAACACGACCGCCCGCTCGTAGTTTCCTAGCGACTCATAGGTAAGGCCCAGGTTGCCATAGGCGCGGGCCTGGCGTGTGGTGCTGCCCGCTTCCTCTGCGATCTCCAGGTCACTTTGGTGGCACCGCAGGGCCGTTTCGTACTCTCCCATGGCTTGATATACAGTCCCCAAACCACAACTGGCATCACCCTCCAGTAGTCTGTCCTGGGTGTCACGGGCGATGGCCAGCTGACGCTCCAGACAGGAGATGGCCTGCTCGTAATTGCCCAGCTGGCTGTGGAGCGCGCCCAGTTCACCGTAGGCCTGAGCCTTGCCTCCACACTCGCCCAACTCATGAGCCACCACTAGCCGTTTCTCAAAACACACAAGTGCCTGTTGTAAATTTCCCATAGCCCTGCAGATCAAGACAAAAAACAGCGATTGTTAGTGTGAAGCAGATTAGAAGTGAGATACGTGATGTAACCTAGCAAGAAAATTTGGAAGAATATGTCACTGACAGATTCAGTTAAAGCTGAAACAATCCCAAAATGCCTTTCAAGTTCACAACACTCAAAATCAAAAATCTATTTATAGCACTTTGTTTTATCTCATATCATTCTCTTACCAGAGAACTATTAGAACGCATCGTGCAGCACACGTTGCAGGAAGACTTTCATTTGCAAAGTGCCAGATAATTTCAGTATTGGAGTCAATGAAATATCGATTTTTGCCTTTCATTTCGGTGCTGAAAGCTGCTGATGTTGACAGACTAAAGAGCGTGTGAAAGTATTCCTATATGAGGAATATTTGAGGCATGATATGATATTTCAAGTGCAGACTATTTTGCAGGAGAACACGGTTAACCGTGTAAGATAGGCCACCTGCTCCCATCCTCTCGAGTACGTATTGACAGAGTGGAAATCATCCCATGTGAACATTTTATTCGCCTCCGCAGCCTTCAAACAGACTTTTATCACATTCTCAGGAACAGCAACAATTGCTGGCTGCTGGTTCAAATGGTGCATTAAAAGAATAAAAGCCTTTGGCTTAATTAATCTTGTGTGATAATGTATTTGCCTGACTAAGAGCCGCTGGAAGATGAGAAGGGTTTATGTGTGATGTCTATTATTCCCTTCTGAACTCATGCATGGCTAATACTGCTGTGTGTGATTGCTGCCGTGCCATGCTGATGACGCACAATAAGAAGAAAATCATCTCTGAAATGAGGATTTCGGCGAGCCTTCTCGTGTTTTATTTTGCAGTGTAGTCTCCCAGGTTGCTATCAGCTCTTTGAGGCATGAGGAGAAATAGAACGGCGAAGAGACACAAGATGTAAGAGGTTGTCTTGAAATAACTGTGCATCCCTCCGTTTCAGACATCTGTGTGCCAAAGCCACTTTGCATACAGATAAGGCCAGGGCCGCTAGGCTGCTGCTACTGAGACGGCTAGCGCCACATCCAAGTGCTGTTCACTACAGCGAGGCGTCTCTAAACTATGGTGGTCCATAATTGTGAGAGCAAGGAGACAAATTATATGCAAAGTACTGTCATTAGTACTTAAAACTGAGCCGATACAAGTATCTGTTGCCGTAACAGCAAGAGGATATTAATGCTGAAAAACAGTGTTTCTGATAATATCAAAAAAGTACATTTGAAACAAATCCCTAGATTCACCTGTGTCCATTGCCTAAGCCTCTATAGGCTTTCTCCTGGTCCTGCATGCGGTTGAGGCTCTGAGCCACTGACAGATACTGGTCATAGTATTTGATGGCTTCCTCGAAGTCTCCAAGAGCCTCGTAACAGTCTCCCAGATTACCATAGGCCCTGCCCCGGTCCATTACTGCTTCGTTTCCACTCAGCTGCTGTAAAGTGGCCAGCTGTTGTTCAAGGTAGCCAATAGCCTCCTCCATCACCCCTACATTCATTTTCGTGATGCCCATGTTTCCATACACCTGAGCCTCCACAACAGGATCCTTCAGCCTCCGACCGAGTTCTAACTGCTCTTCGTAGCTCTTGAAAGCCATCGCGTACTTCCCGAGGGCCATGTAGACAGCAGCCAGATGACCATGGGCTTTGCACTCTCCTGACACATCACCGAGCTCTTGGTACACTTCCAGCTCCTGGGTATGGTAGCCCAAGGCTTTGTCATATTTCTGTACAAGTCTATAGGTGGCCCCGAGGGCAGCATACGCACAGGCCTCCATCCTACGCTCCTTAACCTGAAACAAGAAAGAATTTCACTATATTGGCATAAAGGACATAACAGAATAATTATAAATGAATAAATAAACAAAATAAACATTTTCATTTTAATAAGAAGAATTGTTCTAGAACAATATGTGTTATGTGGGGCCACACCTGGTGAGCTAATGCCAGTTGCTGCTCATAAAACTGAATGGCCCCGGCCACATCCTTTTTACAAACAAATATGTCCCCCAGGTTCCCCAGAGCTCTGAAGCGAGCCTGTGCATTGTTCAGGGACTGGGCCAGAGACAGCAGGTACTTCTGACACTCCTCTGCCTTAGTGAAGTCTCCTAGAGCCTTGAAAGCCAAACCAAGGTTACAGTATGCCTTGGCCTGGCTCAGTTTGTCATGTAGATCCTTGGCCAGAGCTAGGTCCTGCTCATAGTATTTGACAGCATCCTGGTAGTTGCCCAAGCAGTAGTGGGCATAACCCAGATTGTGACAAACTTTCCCTTCGCTCTCCATATCTTGGAGGTCAGGAGACAACCGGAGGTACTGCTCATAGTATGGTACAGCCTGAGGAAACTCTCCTCGAGAGCAATGGAAGTTGCCGAGGTTTCCCAGAGCCCGTGCCTCACTCTGGACATCTCTGAGCTCACGAGCTATGTTGAGATGGTTCTGATAATGCTGCAGAGCACGGTCGTGAGCACCCAGAGCTTGGTAAGCCACAGCCAGGTTGCCATGGGTGGAGGCCTGTGAGGCTCGGTCGTTGACCTCCATGGAGATCTGCAGCTCCTGACGGTGGTAGCGAACAGCCTGGTCAAAGGCTCCCAGGGCGTTGTAGGCATTACCCATGTTGCCATAAGCCCGGCCCTGAGCAGCATAGTCATTTAGCTCCTGAGCAATGGCCAGGTGTGTTTTGTGGAGTTTCAGTGCGGTCTCATAGTCTCCCTTCATCTGGTGGATGATGCCTGTGGAGAGAGGGGGAGAAAGCAAAAGGATGAAGTTAAAGACCCATTTAGGGGAAAATTGTAATTGAGTAAAATTCGAGTGCCTCGTCAGCTCTTCGTGTACAAAACAAGTCATTTGGTTGTTAAAATAGGCTCTCCGAGCCATCTGTTCTCTGCTTACACAACACACTCTCCCACAGAATTATGGTCATTAAAATGTAGTGCAATCAAACAAGAGTTATTATAACACTAAAATAGAATCTTTTGAATGTTTAAGCTGTCTTTGATGATCGTGTCTTACAGGGATTTTACCAAAATCAACAACTTTTCCACAGGGTTGAAAATAGCTACGAGTGAACGAGAAAGAAAGACAGGGGAAGTAAAAGTGCGGGGGAGTGTGAATAGCAGATGGAAAGCTCAGCAAACAACTTTAGAAAAAAAATTTGATAAGTGTGGAGAAACAATAAATAATGGAGAACCCAATCTATTGAGCATATTATCACAGATAAAATACCATCCTCTGGAAAATAATAGCTTTACCCCACAGCCAGGCAGCTATCTGGCACACAGACACACACACGCACACACACAGACACAGGCACACACACATCCAAACAAATGCACACCCACACCTTTGTACTCATACAAAATGACAAATACACAGCAGAGAGTAAAGAGCCGTAGTGGCAAATCGACCATTCTTCTCCTCCTTTCCTTTGAGCTTTTAAGACTCACTGCTAATCTGTATGGTTCCTCGTTTGCTTTGTCACCTAGCCTTCAATGATAATAATGGCAATGATAGAATTAAAGTAAACTGAAATTGTAGACAGGGTGGCTGCGGGCTAGCGGATGGAGACGAAGAAAACAGCTGCAAGGCAAATAATTCAGTCTTTCATGTACCATACCGCCTGACCATCACGGCTCTGCTGCATCAGCACAGAGACTAATGGGCCAGTAGGATGGGGGTTCAGCCGCTGATGGGACACAAGGGATGGAAACAGTTCTGGAGCCAGAGTGGGTGGGAACTGGGGATGGAGAGGGGCTCTGTGGCTTGTGGTGAGTGTGTGATGGTGCCGCTGGGATTAGTTACCACCATGTGTGTTTTCCCATTCATTTCATCCGAAACCTGCCACATTATGAGCCCGAACATAGGCTACGTAAACAGTGGGATTGAAACTAAACAGAAGGCTCAAACGACTGCAGAAGTTACACAGTAGATGTGGAAACGCATTCTGATGTTGGCTGAGTCAAAAAGCAGCACATCTGGCCGATGCCAACGGAAAAAAGCTTTGGTGTCGTTGCAGTGTGAGTCATTGGACTGCACACCGGTTTGACACATCGCAAGTTTTGTCTATGTATACATACGCATACCCACAGTGCATGCATACTTCAGATAATGTTGCAAGACATTTACATGGTCCAATACACACCGATATTTCAGTCTCAATTAAGTGTAAAATAGGAGACAAATTAAAATACTAAACCTGCCTGAATTGGATGTTTTAAAATTAGACAGAAAATAAATCCACCAGCCTTTCCTGCAAATAATTTAGATTTATTTGGGGAAAACATAATTAAAGATCCCCTGCCTGCTTAATTCAGACCGTGATTCAGCATGCGGCACACACCCAGCGACAAATCAAACCTGATATGTCGTTCTTTGCCTGCTTGTGTTCTCGGGTGTAAGTGATACAACCTGAACTGACCTTCTAATCATCAGGTCACGGCCCTGAGGAATTGGTATGCTAGGCATGCCACACAGCAGAACCCAAACAGAAACAGCGTTGCCAAATGGGAAAGGAAGGATTCAGAATCCAAATGATGACTTTCATAATGAGTCAAATGCATGTTGCTGTTGACTATATACTGCACGAATAAGAATAAATATGGGGCTTTTAAGTTTGACAAACTTCCAAGTGCTCCCATTCCTTAGAGTCTTTTCTTAGAGTGAAAGCATGTTAAGATTCACAGCAGGCTAGTTGGAAGAGTACGGATAGTTGTAACCACAAAGTCACTCCCAAGGTTATGCTTTCCCCAGTGGAGGCTGATCTTATTGAGGATATAATGCCTACTGATGTATTACCAGCAAACATGTTTCATGCTGCAGGCTAAAAATGGATCCAGGGCTCGCTGACGGATGCAGGGGTAAAGGAGGCAGGAGACTGGACAGAGGCTGGGGGAGTATGGCTAGGTTTATGGCTGGACTTGGAAGATGCAGCCAAAATTGCCATAAGCCTCAGGCTATGCCTGGAGCCACACTTGAAGCAAGAAAATATATTCTGTGCCCCCCCATATGGTAAGAGGATTATGAGGCCCTCTGGGAATAGTATCCAGCATAGCAGTAAATAAAACCATACCAGATATGATGGTAAATACTGCTGCAACACAAAATTTGGGACTTAGTACAACGAGGTTTAGCGGATGAGGCCATCGTTGCATACTGTCCAAATCAAAACATCATTCTTACCCCTCAATTTAACGTCTGATTTTACTGCAAGTCTGTGAAGCACACTAAATGCACTTTAGTAAAATGTATTAAAAATATGGTTCAATTATTGTTCTTTTACACAGCTTTAGAAAAAAAATACAGTGGAAAAAAACCCAGGATAAAGCAGACACTATGCAATCCAAATACTTTTATACAGAGCCCTATCCATCCCCCCATGACCAAAGACATTAAAAGCATGACAATGTGTTGTCACTTTTCATTACACAGCTGGCTGTACATAGAGGGATATGCTGCAGTGATGACTTTGAGGGATGGTGTCATGTTCTGAGTAAGTCACTGTGTCATTCTTCGAGGAGCTAGGAAGGTCCGGAGCGCTGCTGCCTGCAGTCAGCTAAGAGGATTTTATAAACAATGCTGCTGCTGCCACTGGGCTGATACCAGGAAAAGAGGTGACCAGTCTGTGTCCAAAAAACAAAAATAACTGGGGTTCTATATTTTTATTTCAGAATGAGGTCAATATTTTAGGTTACATGATGGAGAAAACCAGGACACAATCGTAGAATAGTGTCTCTCTTTAATATTTCGGTCTTTGGTTTCCGCTTCAACCAAGAACTATTTGAGAGATACGATAATGAGTTTGGACAGTATTTACAACACATTCTACAGTACCACAGCTGCCATAAATAGCTGAATAAAAAGCTGAATATATTTTAGTTTCTAGGGAACCAATTGTGAAATTCTGGACCAATAAAAGCTTAGTTTGGCTGTTCCCTTATTCACCAGGGGTCACCATAGCAGACAGAGGTGCATATTTTTCAACCAGATACCCTTCCTGACCCGCAACTCCTGGGATTTGCATCTCACCCCAGTCTTGAATCGGGGATCTTTTGCATATTAGGTGAATGTGTTAACCACTATCCTATGGACCAATACAGATACCTATTCAATACCATGAATTAATTAATCATTTAAATAAGAATAACAATAATAATTAAACAAATTCAACTTTACTTTCTTCTTGCTCTTCATCACACTATTCTTTAGCACTGATGTGGCACCACAGTCAACAAGGCCAATATACTTTTGGACGTGCTAAGTGCACAACACTGCTACTTTCTGACAGCCGTCCTTGTCAGCTGGATGTGTGCTATGTCTTTAACTTTATCTGCACTCATGTACTCAAGAGTTATTGACTTTAGTTTCTAAGCTGAGCAGCCTTGATTGCCATCTGGCTGCCTGCTTGGTATCTGTATTACTACTGCATTGTTTTGTGGGAAATTAGCACAGTACAGAGCCTTGTGCATACTGTAAATGCAGTATAAAAAAACAAGCAAATAAAAGATGCACTACTATTTTAAACTACTTGATGTTGTTAGTATAGAATTTCCAAAAACAACCAGCCATTTAAGAAGGCAAAAGGGGATAAAACATCAGTAATCATTCTTTTCGTAAAGAGGCCCTAGTTCTAATTTCATTCATATTTTAAGCCATTCTTTAAATGATAAGTCAGTTCTTCCCCACACAGGATACAGTGTAATTATAGATGGCTAATGAGAGTCTCTCTGCTAACACATTTTTCAACTTTAGGGATCTCTTATGAAGTTAAAAGAAATATTGCACTGAAACAGCATTATTTATAGCCGCCGTCTGAGTATGACACTCATACAGAGGATGTGAAACTTCCAAAGATGATACAGATGACTGTATGATAATAGCAACGGTGCAGGCAGCCCACATATCAAGTGTATGGAAATTAAAGGGTGGATGAAGGATGAAATGCTACATTATATGAAGCATTTTAAAAGAGTTGCACAATACACAATAGCATTGTAATGATCTGTTGGGGGAAGCAGTGAGCTGAAGCAGACATCAGATCCTCCTGGGATCTGCTGGAAGGGGTGGAGCTTGGGGGGGGGGGGTTGGACTTAAGGTATTTAATCCTCACCCGCAGACACAGACATCTCCTACAGTCTGACTGACAGAGGCCCAGGAAGGACATGATGTGGATAGATGGCTGCGTGCTTAGAGGGCGGGTGGCCTGCCAACAACAACATGCAGACAGAGCGCTGTGCTCGCCCTCTTGCCTGTGGCTGAGCTGCACTCCTTTGTGCTCCAATTGACCCCAACCCCTATTTCAGCTCACTAAACCAAGTACTCTGTACTCTCTGTACTATACACGACTGACACCTGACTCATCCTGCCTCTTAACCAGCAATGTTCAGTCTCAATCATCTGGTCTTTTTCGGTTGCACTGCAAAATCTCCCATCTGTTTAGGAATAGGTCACATTTCATGCTGAATTTGCACATGTGCTGCAAAAAAAGGGCACAGTTGTTCGAGGCAGAGCAATGCTACAGCTCTTTTGTTTCATTTATTGGCTCCACGGTGAGTCAAGTACTAATTCTGCATGGTGAGCTATACTTCAGTGTAAGAACAAGGATCATGAAAGTGTTTCACGAGGCCTTTCGTCCGGTTTCTGGCTCGGTATTTGGTCATGAGATTAATGGGGCCATGCTAAGGGGAGACAGAGAGCATCTGCTGCTTTTTGGAACAAAACAGAAAAGTGGGGCCAG